CCATTGAAACAATTCAAATTACCCTGGATACTCTTTGTCAGAGCTTTCAAATACTACACAGATATCACTGTAACTCTCGTGACTTCAGATCTACTCAGTTATTTCGATGAGGGCCTTTGGCAGGTATCTCCTCCTTTCAAGCCTTAATACAGTCCGTGATGGCCAAAAAACTTTTCAGATATTATCTCCACTACCCAGTATTGTGTCCAAGGTTATGCCCATTGGGAAAATTTCTCTTCTCTTCAAGATCTTTCCAATTACATATACTTACTGTGAACTAGTTTAGGCCAAGGCCCGATAGAAACTGGACATTCTCTTTTTGTTTGCGGATGAAAACAATGGCCTGTTTTTTATTAAGGCATTTTTCATTTTAAAATAAAATGAACAATGTCATTCAAATACCTTTACAGTAATATGTACATAACAGAAATGCAATGGAATAAGAAAAAGATTGTTTTATTATTATTACCGTATTCTTGTCTAATAATATTATATATTACTCTGGTTGCTTTTTAAACTTTGGTTAAAATTACTTGTATAAATAAACAAGGCCACTGTTATTTGTAATCGTACAAATAATAGAGATGCACTTCAAGAGGATATAAATAGCCGTATTATTCGTATAAGTACAAGGTTAGTACTTTAGATATATCGTCAATATCGAACAACATCAAACCCAGAATAGATATCTGAAGCATACTAGATAGTAACTCATAAGAAGTGGAAAATTTGCCCTGAAAATTAACCATAAATGATTGTCTTACGAGATAGCTACAAATAATTTTAATTAAAAAATAGGAAGACTGATAATGATCATACACTCTCGCCATTACCGATCCATATCCCATAGAAAACCCAACAGTTCTGATTCTTATTAATTCTTATAACAAAGAACTCCGAAACGCAGAGCAACTGCAAAACTGTGAAATGGCAAAAGTGAAATCTAAACTGTTCATTAATAATCATCTTGTTGGCTGTCAAATGTGAGTTTATTTGATGAAGAATATATATAAATAATTCTTTCAAATACCTTATTACCATAAACGTGCTTAGTAAATCATAAGAGTAAATCATAAAATATATAAATAATTCTTTCAAATACCTTATTACCATAAACGTGCTTAGTAAATCAATAATTGATCGAAAAAGAAAAGATTAACGTACTTTCTCTTGCCTTCCATTGATTAAATTTTATAACTGAAGTTACAAAACTATTACATGTATATTTGCATTAAATTTTTTATTTAATAAACTGCCTCTGCAGATGGATTATTGTATCTGTATTTTGATTTCTTATTTCCCTCAGTGTACTCAATAAACTCCATCTCTACTGCTAGACAGTGGTTTGTCCTAAAGCAATAATGATATTTAAAATACATACTAAGAAATAAGATACACATTAAAATTCAACTTATTTTAGGCCGCATAATTTTGCATAATTTCAATAAACACTTTGCATAATTTCAGTAAAATTTCTTGCACAATCGAACATTTTTAAATGCATAAACTTCCTGTCCTTAACAATGACGCTCCTATTCACTTTGCTACCGAAGGCACACACGTGGCCACATTGGAAGTTTTGCTAGCGGAACCAACGATAAATCCAAATCTCGAAGCGGGACGGCAAACTGCCTTGCACATCGCGGTGAAAAAGAATGACCTGACCTGCGTCGATCGGCTGCTGAATGCAGGTGCCAGCGCAAGTATTCCGAATAACGAGGGCCTGACGGCCCTCCACTTGGCGGCGATGAGGGGCCAGTGCGACATGGTGAAACTGATACTAGGAAACAGCCAACAGTGTCCAGACATCGACACCTACAAAGATTACAACGACCAGACGACGCGAGAGGTGATTCAGCAGTTGCTGCCGGATGTGTCGTTGCCACCCAAATGTGGAAATCGCGAGGTAAACGTGTACGATCTTAAGTACTATTTGATCGCCAACGACGAGAAGAACTTCCTGAATAGTATGGAACTTGGCGAGACAAAGGTGCTTCACAACGAAGCCAAACAACTCCTGGAGATCGCCGTGGAGCGCAATTTGTACAAAAGTGTGCTTGAACTCTTAGAAAGACTCAAGGGAGAATCGTTCAGTGTAAAGGAAGCTGCAGAAATAGCAGTTTGGTACGGTCACGTCCATATCCTTCAAATATTGCTGCGTGTGCAGCCGGAAGTGGCCAACGACTTGATACTGAGTGCCTGTCAGCAGCTGGGAATGCCGAAAAGAAAAGGCAATGATACCGATCGGCTGATGTGTCTAAAATTAATTTTGGACCAGGAAAACGTGGACGTCCGTTGCACAGAGAGTAAGTACACCTCAATGTATGTCATGAGTAACAGAAGGAATAACATTTTTTTAGACAATATGTAGACACACACAAAGCGTCTTAATTGTATAGATATGACAATATTCTAGATATTCTGAAAATATAATATTCTTGAAACTTTTACAGACTGTTCCCTTTGTTATAAATTTTATCTTACAGGCAATGGCAACACGCCGTTGCATCACGCAGCCAGAGCGGATAATTGCGAAGCGATGAGTCTGCTTCTCAAACGAGGCAGTTACATTGGTCACATGAACGATTTTAACGTTCCGCCCATCGCAAACATTCCGGCCTGCACGCTGTCGCGCCACTTCGACGACTGTTTACGGATGGGGAATGGACGAACAAATACGTGATTGAGTTTGACTATTGTTGTCTGATGCCGCACGACGTTCTGAAGAAACACGAGGAACGTCGGTTAACTTGCGAGATGGTAGTTTTTCAGTACATAGCTGGCAATAATGATCTTAAACACTTGCTGAAGCATCCAACACTTTCATCCTTTCTCGATCTCAAGCGACAAAATATACGGTACATTATGTACGCGCATTTATTCCTCTACGCGATGTTTTATATCCTGCTAAATTTTTGCATCTTGAGTACGTGTTTCAACAATCCTGCAAATAAAACGGAAATATTTAATGATAATGTAACTTTAAAAAATCCTCTGCAGATCGTCTGCCATCAGGACATTTCTCGATGGATCCCCATTATCCTACTATTACTGCTCTTTATATTTTGGGAGATCCTTCAAATCATCTGTCCTTGGAACTATTTGTTGAAGTTGACAAACTTGGATAGCTTGTTGCACAACATGCTGATTTTACTGACGGTCGCTCTGATATGCGGGGCGTATCAGGTCGGCACTTTACTGATCCTATTGTCCGCCTACAAACTAATCATACTGATCAGCCATCATACAGATAGGTCCACCAGCATTGAAATGTTCCGAACGGTCTCTAGAAACTATATGCGTTTATTTTTTCCGCACGTGCTTTTCGTCATTGCGTTCGCCCTGGTTTTCTATACACTCTTCAAGGATAACACGAACTTTTCTGATCCCATGCATTCGATCTTCAAGACCATCGTTATGCTTACCGGCGAGCTTGACACAAACGAAATCCCGTTTGTTGCGCACCCCTTTTGGAGCCGTTTTGCGTTCATACTGTTCATCTTCTTCATCGTTATCGTGTTAGTTAATCTACTCAACGGCTTGGCGGTCAACGACACCACCGAGATCTTGAGCAACGCCGAGCTAATCGGACTAAAATTTCCACAATACGCACAATCGCCTATCTCTAAAACATGACAGTGAGTATACTGTTTAAAAACTCCTGTTGTAGAAATTGCAGATTTTTACGATACCCTTTCCGCTATCTCGCCAAGAAGCTTTTCCTATTTCCACATTATTTGACAAGCGGCAAAGTCAACGTCAAGCTGTACGATAGCACAAAGAACGAGAAATACAATCACCTCGTAGCGAGAGATTACGTTTGTAGAGTCTGTGAATCGTGATAAATACTGGCCCAGCTTGAGAATGGGTCCTAATCTTAGAACATATATACCTGGAAGGGGAATAGTGATGCCAGATCTGTCCAAAACATGAGATAGAGAATATATCTCCTTCCTTGTTCTCGAGATGGGCAAAGGTAAATCTGCGCATGTACAGTTCGGACCGCGCCGATGACACCGCGCATAAACCTAACCTAACCTACGCGAAAAGTGTCAATGAAAATTGTTGGTGCTAATTAAAAAACCAAAATGAGACATTATTGTCTTTTGTGTGAAAAGAAAAGTAAAGACGTTACTTACTTTAAGTAAGTTGAAATAAAGTATTTAATTATGTGTTATTTTCCATTGATAAATAAAATTCCGGTACTAATATTGAATATGTGGACGCTTTATTGAAATTTAAATGTTTTATTTATATATGATATTTTTAACTTAATAGATTTCCATCTGATGAGAATTTAAAGAACTGGTTATAATTTTGTAAAGTTCCAGAAGAAGATTTGAAAATTTCTCACAGGTTATGTTCCGATCATTTCTCTGGAGATGATCTGATTTGGCGAGCTGGCCGAGTTTGTATAAAACAAACTGGAACTGTGCCTTGCAAATATAAACCTGAAAGTTAGTAATTACCATATTTTATAAACTATTTATAAATGCTACCAATTGAAAAGTATTAACTTGTCAATGTTACTTTGAATTTTTATTTAGATGTTGCAATGTTACATCCAATTACATCCAAAGACATTCAAAACAATAATCAAGGCCAGATGGAAATATCCAGTGATACATCACCTGCTGAAATAATTACACCCAGCGATCTATCATCGAATGATGCATCTGCAATAACTACTGTTCCTGCAGTAGATCAATTTAATGAGCCACATAATCCCTTGGATGTAACTGCTGCAATAACTATTCCACCAAGTGCAGCACAAAATTGTACTGTCAAGAAGAGAGCACTTAAGTTTACAGACGAGTCGGTATGTATTGTTCTTTTGTTATTAATGTTGTAACGATGCACCCCCCGATGCACCGTTCCCGGCATTCCACCCGCCGGATGCCGCCCGACCGAACATCCGTCGGTAAAGACTCCGATACACCGGCGCGCCGACCGCGCGGCCGCGCGTCGTACCGCGCCGAGTCCGAGCAAACCGA